TTTCTTTAAATCACAAAGAACTGAGGAGCACTGTCATCCTGAGATATAAGTTGCCAAGTCCCATGTGCCTGTAATTTCACCAGCACACTTACCCTTCAAAACCGGATCACAGTAATACTGACATTACTGCTTGGCGGCAGAAATAGGTAAGGTGGCAGTACTGCCCTGGGTGAACTCTTTGACAATGAGCTCTTCTTCTACTAAAATAAATATGTGAAATTTAAACAAATATTCTATAAGCTCTAACATGAGGAGTCTGAATAATCCTAAGGTTCCAAAAGAGCATCCGGGCCGGGAGAAATGTTTGTATGGCCTACATTTGCTTCTCCCGTGAGTTTAGGTGTAATTTGTGGTTGTTTATGTGTGTGTTCATGGCACCCACGATGCAGGGTTTACCTAGTGTGGGGCTATAAGTGTAAAAGAAATCAACCCATTTATACGTTCCACTGCTGGACGGGTTTCCTCTCATAGGAGGGTTGAGGCCCTAGACCGTTATGCTGCTGGCCCATTGGGGGTTGGACACTTCACAGGTTTTCCAAGGGTAGTGAACCATCTCCGACGTACCGGTTACATCATGATGTTTTCCTTCGTCGAAATAATCACGGTAAATTTCAAATTAAATTCAATTTCGCACATAAATTACGAGAAACTCAAGAAATTCGAACCCACGGCCTCTGTTTGAGAGGCGGAAGGTAAATCAAACCACTAGGCTTCCACGGTTTTGTGTTATATTATTACTTAATTGTTATTCTCCTGAATACTGTTTATGTGTTCTTCTTTTTGTTCATGTTTTGTGGTGTCGATGTTTTTTATTTTTATTTTAGAACAATATTGAGTAGTACGTTGCCACCTTGCTTGCACTGGGTGCAGGTATTAGAGCAAGATAAGACCTTCCTGTGTGTGCCTACCTATTACCGAAGGACCCATTGGTCCTCACAAATAGTTAGGCACACACACGTCCTCGGGTAACACAGTGCTTACACTTGGATAACATACTTCAAAGTTACGAATAAAAAAAATTATTTCAAAACAAAATTTTCGTTCGGATCGCATACACATTACCGTATATGAAGTGACCAAAACAAACTGCACTGGTTCTGAAACAATCACCTAATGAACCCCAAAACCAAATAAGGGTTATTTCACAAAAACCTTTTTATGAGGTATACCTACTCTACTCTACCTGCCTAATAATCCTACGTATCTGCCGCATAATAATATAATAATTTTTTTGGATACTAGAACGACACACGACGATTTCGTGCGTGCGTGCGCGCGCGCGTGTGTATGTTTGTGTGTGTGTGTGTGTGTGTGTGTGTGTGTGTGTGTGTG